GAATTACTGAAGGCCCTGATTTAGGAAAAGAAACAAACAAACAAATAACAACAACATACAGCCAACCAAAACAAAAAACAGTATCTGAAAACCAAGGAATATTTATCCTTTAAAAAAATCTTTTTAAATATTATGCTCCATGATGTCTTTATTTTTGATTCATTAATGCTTTAGTTTAGAAGGATGCTGGGACAGAGAAATTGCTGAAGTGTTAGATGGCACAGCTAATTTGGAAATGCTTGAAGGGAACAAAACAAAATTTTACAGTGATGACATCAGGCTCTTTAAAATTCAGATTACAATAATTTTTTTGAAAAATGTCTTTTTTGATATATAAAATACGAGCTTAATTGGATATGCAATTGAAAAATAACAGTGTGTAAATTTAAGGTGTACAATGTGATGATTTGATACACATATATATTGCAAAATGATTATCATAATAATGTTAGTTAACACATCCATCATCTCACATAATTACCTGTGTGTGTGTGTGTGTGTGTGTGTGTGTGTGTGTGCTGAGAACATTTAAGGTCCACTCTCCCAGCAACTTTCAAGTATGTAATATAGTTTTGTTAACTATACTCACCATGATGTACATTAGATCCCAGAACTTATTCTCCTTGTAATTAACTGGTCGTTTATACCCTTTGACCGACCTCTCCTTGATACTCCCACCAACCAGGCTCCTGCAATCACAATTCTACTCTGTTTCTAAGAATTTGGCTTTTTTTTTAGATCCCACATGTAAGTGAGATTATACAAATTTTGTTTTCACTATCTGACTATCCGACTTATTTCACTTAGCATAATGCCATCGAGGTCCATCCATATCGTCAGAAGGTTTTTTCCCTTCTTTTCCACGGCTGAATAATATTCCATTACACACACACATATATACACATCATGTTTTCTTTATCTATTCATTCATCTGTGAACCCTTAGGTTGTTCCCATGTCTTGGATATTGTGAATAATGGTGTATTCCAATACCGTGTATTGAAGAGACTATCTTTTCTCCATTGAAAATTTTTGACTTCCTTGTTAAATATTAGTTGACTGTACATGCATTAGTTTGTTTCTGGGCTCTTGATTCTGTTCTGTTGGTCTATGTGTATGTTTTTATGTCAATCCCATACTGTTCTGTCTCTTTCACTCAGAAATGTGCTGCTTATGAATTATTAGGGCAAGGCTGCCTGCAAGTCCACCTCAGAGGAGAAAAAATTATTATCCTCTTTATGTACTGAAACAGATTTCTCAGTTAGTTGAGCCCTTGCCAAGCTGTAAAGGTTAACAATTGCTGATGGGTAGAGAAAAGAGCATGAGTCTGGGTGATTCAAATCCTGGCCTGAGTTCTCTTGACTCTGTTTCTCTGAGCCACTGTTTATTCTGGAAAGAAGGAGATAAACATACTGGTCTACCTTACAGGTTTGTTGTGAGAGTTATAAACAAAATAATTTCCTAGCACACACAGACTGGCACATAGCAGGCACTCAATAAATGGTATTTTTAAAAATGGCAGTGGAAGTGACTACATATTATTTGTCTTCAGAAGTTAGGAGGTAGTGCTAGACACATACCATTGATCAAAAACTTAGTGAAGACTATATCTTCATCATAGACATCTATCCCACCGATTTTGCTTAATTTAGAAAATTTACAAATTAGAAATGCTGTGGTTGAGATTTCCTTAAAAACTACACTGTTTGTATGTTGGAATCCCATGGCACAGAGTCTCACACTGAAATGAAGGTGTTGCTAATACTAAGTCACTCATAGTATTGATGGGCGAGCTTAACTGGAGTTTAGTAAGACTTTATTTTCAGGGTATAATCAGGGGAAGGAGAGATGCACCGCAAGATTCAGTGCGCCAACTCAAAGCATGCACAGGTCTGCCAGGCCTCTCCCTCCAAAGCCTGGAGATATTGAGTGTCTGCTTTCTCCTAGGGTTTTAAAGATCCTGTGTACCGGACAAGACGGAAGTATTTTGCTGACATAGCCTACAAGTACCGACAGTAAGTCTGCATTAATTGTTGGGAGGCAAGAGAGAAGAGCATACTCCTAGCCTACCTCTTCCTTACCCAAGGTTGGAAAATACTAGCATGGAGAGTCCTGCTTGTGTGTGTGTATGTGTGTGTGTGTGTGTGTGTGTGTGTGTGTGTGTGTGTGTGTGTTTAAACCCTCCCTTGAACAACATGTGTTTTTTAAAAAAAATGCTGCTAGACCAAACAAAATTACCCACTCTGCTGGGGCCCAGCTCTCTCCCAAGTTTTGCTGTATAATTATGTAGTGATGTCTGAAGTAATTATAAGAGGCCTCAGCCCTGAATAAAACAGCCTCCGGTATTCTCCACATTAAACATGGAAGAAGGCAAAAAAGAGAATCATTTACATTCAAGAGGGAGTTGGCTGCTTTACCGAAATGATGAACCATGTGAGGCTGCAGGCAAGCCAGGCAGGCCTCACTGTTCTGCTTTTATCTGATGTGGCCCAGCTGCAAAGGGTGATTTTCGAATGAGTTTCTTTTTTTTTTTTTTTTCTGTCTGGGATTCTATGCTCCTCCACTATGCTATTTTAGCCAAAGGAAAATGCAAATTCCAAATATATTTTGCTATTTTGAGCCATCAGGAACTTCAGAGATGCGACCATGGGAAACTTGGTGTTTGGGGCCTGAGCTCCATCACTGAGGTTAGGGCCTGAGAAAAGACAAGATGTGCACAGGAAGAAGCTGAACAGGTGACCGGAACACTGATGTAATAGTCCTTTAACCCCTTTGATAGAATACAAGGGAGGTAAAGGAGATGAAAGACATAGGGCTCTGCGTACTCAATACAAAATCACCTTCCAAATGGAAAGACTTCCAAATGAGAAAAGTTCCTTCACTGAATGACTCCTCATAGCAGAAGGACCTAGAATTGGGATGACCTTGGTCAGACTTAGGCCCATATGGGACTTGGTTTATGGCAAGTGGGCCTCACAGAACATGGCAGTATTTCTCTCCTGTTCCCATCCTTGCCCCAGCATACTCAGGTGGACACCATCAGGTACAGACAAGAGTCTTTCTTCAGCTAGTCGATAATAATAGATCATACTTATTATCTCCTTGCTATATCTGGGGCTTTGCTAAATGCGTTCTTTACATTATTTCATTTAGCCTTAATAATAACTCTCCATTTTCCTGATGGAAAAGTTAAAGCTTAAAACAATTCAGTAACTTGCCAGAGTCACATACTTGTCGGTAGCATGCTTTGGTTTTGAACTCAGAATCATTCTCAACCACTTTCCTGAGTGACTGTGAACTCAGAGCCAGGGGACTGCTATTCTCCATATAGTTTACCTTCTGCTGGTTTCTCTCCCTCCTTCGTAAACTTTCTTCTCAATCTCCTCTGGCCTCTTCCTCTGACCCCAGAAATCGGAACACCTTTCAGGACTCAGCTTTGGTCCTCTTTCTTGGCTTCTGCCACCCTCCATGCCAACAGCCCTTACAATCGGGTCTCTAGCACCTTCCTAATAATTGTTCCAAATGGGGATCAAACTCATGCATCATGAATTATAGAATTATAGAATAATTATAGAATAATTACAGAATAATTATAGAATAATTACAGTGTACTGATCAGTTGATAATTAGCCCAAGGTAGGCCATTCAGCTATGAAATTGCAGAGCCAAGCACTGAACCCACCTCTGTCCATTTCCAAAGCCCATTTTTTTCCTTCATCAGAACTTAGCCCTGAAATAATGGTGCATCCTTAGGCAGGGGCTTACCCGATATATATTTTTTTACAATCCCCATGGGCCATTGCAGGACCTTCTGATCTTGTCTTACTTTCAGTGCTTAAGCAAAAAAATCTGTTTTTCCCCCTTAATCCCTTCCCACTTTTTGGTAGAACATAACAGTGACTTTGTTTTCATGTCTTTGGATGAGCTACAATTCTGAAAGGGCAAGAGGGCCCTGGTTTGGAGCCTGATAATGATCCACTGTCCTCAGGTAATAGTCTTGCCTTGTTCCAGACACTGCGTACCCTATTAGAAAACAGGCCTGCAGCCCAAAGAACAGTCAACTGGTGTTTGAAGTCAGGCTTTCTTCAGTTTTCATTTGTTTTCACTGTTCAGAACACAGCTCTTTGGAATCTAGATATCTGCTGAGTCCTCCCCTCTTCCACGGATTCAGGATCTATGGGATAGGGCCAACATATGTACTTTAATAAGCTTCTTGAAGTTCTGTCATGTCATGGCAGAAGAAGCTAGGTAGGCAGATCTTATACCTAACATGCATTTAAATACCTTTATAACTTACCGGGGGTCAAAATATCAAATCCAGCAAGTACATGACTACTAAACAAGGGTCTCAAACTCATCGTGCACATATTAAATCCACTTTAGCCCACAGATGTAATTGCTTTAGTTGACAAAATACAAAACTTTAATTGAACTTGGATGCTTTAATTGAACTTGGATGCCATTGTTTAGAAAGAGGATGCATTCTTCACTTGTCTTAGCCCCACTCTCTTATTATCTCTATTTGCTACTTTCCACATTTACTTTACCTACTGGGCCCCTGAAGGTAAGTGAATTTCCACCCTTGGAGAGATAGGAGACAGAAAAGCCAAGTGATTTCCCAGCGTGAGAGGGAATCTTTGGTACAGTTGGTGAAGTGAGACCTTGAGTTGTTGCTTAACCAAATCAGTTGAATGTTTCCTACATCAAGAAGTGGAATTTTCCTCTTTCTAATAACTTATGAAACCCACTAGAGTCTGGGTGGTGGCACCTTACAGACTCTGGACCCGTCTCCCTTTGCTAATGTTCCATTATCCTCCACTCTGCCTGCTGGAGACAAATATCTTGTGCCTGTATTCCAGTGGGCAGCCCATCCCTCGAGTGGAATACACAGAGGAAGAAAAGAAGACATGGAGGACGGTGTTTAGGACCCTGAAGTCCTTGTATAAAACCCACGCCTGCTACGAGTACAATCACATTTTCCCACTCCTGGAAAAGTACTGTGGTTTCCGTGAAGATAACATTCCCCAGCTGGAAGAGGTTTCTCAATTTCTGCAAAGTAAGCCCACATGAAGGTCAAAAGTGATGGGGGCAGGGGCGAGGAATAAAAGGAAAGGCCAGAGGCCAGTGTGAGTGTGTCTATGGCAATGCACGCAGGTTGATTCTCCTAGGAAAAATGCAATTTCTCTGCTGTGCTCTGCCTACTTTCTAGCCTCTACTCTTAATTCACTCTTACTCCCATCCCCCAAAGGCACTAAGCATGGATTTTGCCTTATCCATGCCCTTGAAAAGTATATATTTTTTCATACTCGAAGCCCAGGCTGCCCAGTCCAGGTTCTCCGTGCGGCTCTGCTATGTTCTGCGATGTCTGCAGTGTGCATTTGTGTAAGAAATGTGCTATTTCTGGAGTGCTGCTGAGAGCCCTGAGTTCTAAATCTGTGCATCCAGCTGGTATGAATCTTGCTTTGATCTTCTCTAGTTGGCTGAACCTATCTCAGTTTAGTCATCTGTCAAATGGAGTCTGTGTCAGCCTTTTAGCCTCTCTCCTGGGGAAATTGTGAGAATGACAAAGACTTGCAGGTGAAAGCACCCAGCATAGTGCTACATGCGCTGTGGGCGCTCAGTGCGTTCGGGCTGAATTGGAATCTGAATAACTCAATAAGAGAATAACATTATTGGGATGACTGCCCTCTGCATATCATTTCCAGAAGAGGTAAGTGTTTTTCTCTATGCCAAGAGGTGTTAATTCGGCAAAACCAAAATAAAACAATCAACTAACCCGTATTAAACACTTACTATGTGCCAGGTAGAATGAGGAAAAGTGGGAAGGCAGACGACAGGTTTATAGAAATGAAGAAGTTTCTATATGCCTCGGAGCCATATGGAAATGATAGGGCCAGCTTTTGAGCAAGAGACCTGGGAAACTGTGTGGCAGGAAGAGAAGTGGCAGCTGGGATAGTCTGGGGATGGGCTAGATGACCTTTTGGGTCCCTTTCACTGAGAGAGTTTTTGCTTCTCAGATAAATAGGAGAACGAGAGCTCAAGCAGAGTACACTTTACCCTGAAGGTCTGGAAAACATAGGAAGAGGGGTAAGGGATTCTAAAGACAACCTTTGGCTAATTACCCATGTTGCCATGGCCAATAATAAGAATAAAACAATAATACTAGCAGCTGGAGAATTATAGAGTAGTAACAAAGAGAACAGCCTCTGAAGCCAGGCTGTCTGTAGCTGTGACCATGGACAAGAACTTTAACCTCGCTGTGCCTCTGCTTCCCCTCTGTAAAATGGGGATAATGAGAGCATCTACCTCACAAGGTTATTATGAGAATGAGTTAGTGATTATTAAATGCTTAGAACAGTGTCTGACATATGATAGGTAATACGCAGTGTTATTAGCATCATGATTGTTGTAATCATTATTCTTCTCCCAAGTCTGAAATAAGTTGAGGGATAGATATAGGAACCAAAGAGCTTTATTACTGACAAAGACAACTTAGAGAGTGTGGAGCTGTGCAGCCACAAGAGACTTCCTATTATTTTAACCCTAGATGAGGTGAACCTCCTTGCCAGTTCACCGGCACAGTGTATAGTCCATTGCATGACCAGAGTGTGCTCCTTTGTGGACAGACGGTCAAGAGAGAAAGGGAAGAAAGGGTTGAATTGAAAATATTCATTTCTCTTCCCAAAGACTCCAAGCAGAGATGACTTTGCTCCTCATGGGGTGGACTGTGTGAGGTACAGTAGAGAAGCTTGAAGTGCCCCTTCCATACTTCTCCTTTCCAGGAAGTGGCGTGAAAATTTCCTCCATACCCTGGAAACGGGAGGAGTAGGGAATAAGTGTTCCACTTTAACAAACAATAATGGAAGCTGAATTTATTGGATGTTTCCAAAGTGCTAGGCTCTGTGCTAAGTACTTCATTAGGCCGTTTGAGTCTCAGAATAATCCCAGGAAGTATTCACTCACATTTTGCACATGAGAAAATGGGGTCTCAGAGCAGTGAACTTACTTGGCCCAAATCACCCAGCTCGAATGTGTTGGTGCAGAGATTTGAAGCCAAGTCTGCTTGGCACCAGCGCCCATGCTCCTGGACAGCTGGGTGTACTGCTTCCCTATGTAAAGGTCTTTAGGCCCCTCTGGCTCTGCTATGAGGGGCTCTGAGTTTTCTTTCTCCTTTGCTTCCTAGCTTGCACTGGTTTCCGCCTCCGACCTGTGGCTGGCCTGCTTTCCTCTCGGGACTTCTTGGGTGGCCTGGCCTTCCGAGTCTTCCACTGCACCCAGTACATCAGGCATGGGTCCAAGCCCATGTATACACCCGAACCGTGAGTATTGTCCTCCTGCCACCAGTTGCCAGCCACAGCGAGTGCCACCTATCCCTGCTCCAGGAATGAGGTTTGGGTTCATTGTGGACTGATCCATAGAACAAATTGCCTGGACTATTTGATTGTTTGATACTAAGAGAAGAACTCAGGTCTTCAGAGGATTTTCTCTGTCTAAATAGACCATATGGATTGGAGATTTGGGCATCCTGTGAGCCAAAGATTCAGCCCTTTCAAATTCAAATTCCAAAGGGATTATAGGAATCAGAACTATCAAGCTCTATATGGGAACAGGAACTAGTGGTGGGACGCTATCTCAATACCTCTTAACAGGCCTATCTGATTCTAAATTTTCTTTGCCTAGATTGTGTTTGGGCTGGAGGTAGAGAATAGCTGGCCACTATGCTGCTTACTTTTGCATTTAGCTATTGTTTTGGTCTGCTCAAACTTAAGCAATTTATACAGAAAGTCATTAGGACACCCCAGATGGTCTTTCCACCATCTGCCCACAGCATTTATTTCTATAATCAGCAAAGACCTGTTCCTAATGGGCCTGATACAAAGTATTAAGTAAATATAAGTTTTCTTCCAAGATTGACTGCTGCCCACTCCAGAATAAGAACAGCACTATTAAAAATCTTTAAAAAAAAATTCCCATGGGGAATAATTGAGCACATTTTATCTGCTCAGATTTGTCAATACCAAGATGAAAACTTGGCATAGGAAGTATTCATGACCCACAGCTCACTCTGGTGTATAGGAAGAAGCCCATAGGAATATTGGCTCTTCTGTTCTGCACCTACTGGGCATATACCTAAGAACCCTCTGTCTGATGTGCCCTGCCATGTCCTTTACTTTTCTTGCTCCTTCTTCCTTTTCTCTTGTACCTTGCCTCATCTGACCCCAAGTTTTATACATGTCATTTATTCTTAGGAGAGAGGTCGTAAGCCCAAATGAGTTACTCCCTTTCATCCCGATCATTTTTTTTTTTTTTTTTGTATAGAAAGACGGAGTCTGGCTTGTCTTGTACCCTCCTTGTCTCTAAGCTCTGTGCTTTCTGTCTTTCAGTGACATCTGCCATGAGCTGTTGGGACATGTGCCTTTGTTTTCAGATCGCAGCTTTGCCCAGTTTTCCCAGGTGAGGAACGAATCTCTTTAGCCTTCTAGCTACAGGGTTGAGAACTGGATTGTTCAAATGAATTAAGCCCGTGGAGGGGCTCTCGTGTTCTCTGCATGGTACAGTTCTGTGCTCCCACCTGATGTGGGTGTGTGGTCTCATGGGGATGGCTAAATACCTATTTCAGGGACCACAGCATGGGATTGGTGAATTGCTCATCAGCTGAATAACATTGTTGTATTTGCTAATGTCATTTGTCTGACCAGTGTAGTTTAAGAGCCTTTTCACCCATGAAAGCCTCCCTGATCCCCACGTAGAAGGAACCTTACCGTCTTCCAAGTTCTCTTAGCTTCTTTCCCCTCTTTAGAGGCTATGCCACTTTCTACCTTGTCAGGCAGTCATTTCTGTATATGCTTTCCTTAATTAAGATGATATGTGCCATGAATTCCAATAGTCTATTCATGGCGTTAAATGTCATCTCTATCCTGAAGATGAACCTATTTATAACCCCCACCCCAGATTTTAATCTCAAAACTCTGATTTACATTTCCAACCACTTATTCAATATCTCCACTTGGACGTCTAGTAGATATTTCCATTCATTCTGTCCCAAACTGGATTCCTGATCTTCCTGCTCAAACCTCTTTCACCCATACCCCCTCACCCATTTCAATTCCATCCTCTCAGTTTCTCAAACCAAAAGCACTTAGGGGACATCATTGACTCTTTTCTCTATCCATACATACAACCAAGGCTATGGGAGAATAATTACTGAACAGGAATCAAGAGATGAAGATTTAAACACAGAGTACTGTGTGACCTCAGCAGATCATCTCCCTTTTCTGTGCTACAGTTTTCCCATTTATAAAGCGAATACAAAGGACAAACTGTTAGGGACCTAGAGATCTGTGATTTTATGATGTGTGGTTAGGGAAAACTTGACAGAACGATCAGGGCCTATCTGATTCCTTCTGAAGGCATCTGGCCACCCGTCACCTTCTTGTGGTCAAGTATGAGATGGAGACTGAGGGTAAAGGTAGAAGATGGGCAGACCCCAGTCATGCCAGTGATTCTGTTTCTCCACAATTACAGGAAATTGGCCTCGCCTCTCTGGGGGCACCAGATGAGTACATTGAGAAACTTGCCACGGTAAGTCCCCTCTATCCCTGGAGAATACTGAGAGTATTGTAGACTCTAGTCCTCAGGTCTTTGAAGCTTTGATCCTTCCCTGAAAGCCAAATCATTTGGGAAGAAAACCAGAATGTGTTGGTTACATCTGCACAAAGTGAAATTTCACATTTGGATTTCTCCCTAATGGCTTGAGTTTGAAATCGACTGCATGCAGATATTTACATGTGATTTTAAACACGGTGCCTTGAAAACGTCAACAGGCTATAATAATAGCCCTTGAGAACTCTCGGACATGAAGTGTGTGTCGCGGAGGTAGTTTGGATTCACAGCTTTGAAGAGGGAATATATGCTCTCTGCCTTTGCACCAGAGCCAGCAGTAGAGCTTTTCCTTTCTCAGACACATGGTAGCAATGGGGGCGGGCTTTCCTCTGCTTACCAAATGGTTCCCTCTCCCCAGTGAATGTAATGACATGCATCCGTTGAAGCATGGAATCAGCAACTCTGCACAGTAGGGGGTTCCCTTCCTATAGGCTCCTTTCTAACTGACCTGAGTGTGTTCCTCCCCACATTCTAAGCTACATTTCTTACAATGTGCTCAGCCTGGGAGACGAAAAATAGAATTTTATAATGGAAGTAAGGACCACAGATGAATGCACATCTGTCATTAAGATGTATCAGTTTAGAAGTTTATGAATTCAACTTACCAGAAGGGCAAAAACTTCCAGAAGGTCCTTTTTCACTGACCAGCTTTTCCAAGACAGTGGCCAAGTGGCTTTTGCTTCCTTATCCTGCCCATCTCAGTATATCATAAGGACCTAAAGTGTTTGTGTCAACATGAGTTTTTAAATGCCAGATGCTGTAGAGATTCAATAAGCAATTTTCAAAGAAGCTGCAGAGCTTGGTAGACTCACTGTAAGAAGAATATAAACTCAGAACTCAGAGTATCATTTTACCTGCTATAACAATGATAAAAATACTCATCACCAACATAATCACTTTTAAAAAAGTATCTTATTATTGATACACTGGGCTGAGAACAGTCTTGGGTCCTTGATCTGTCCTTGATTTGCTGTGTAACTGTACGCATGTTGCTTGACCTCTCTGGCCTGAAGATGCCTCACCTGTATGTGAGGAGGTCAGATAAATTGAGCTTTGACAGCCTTCCTAGGTTTAAGATTACTGAGTACAATAAACAGACTTAACTAGTAACACAGCCCTCATTCTCCAAGACTATGACTGTCTCTAGTAGCTAACTGGGCCCTGGGTTCTCTTGGCCCTAGTCAGTAGGGTTATGCTAGAATTCTAGGACCATCTTCCCTAGACCGGGCATCTAGGACATGTTGGACTGAGAGCTATTGAAAGAAAAGGACTTGGTTTTTGGGGGGAGGAAAAGTGCAGTGATTGATAAGGGTAATTCAGAAACACCTCAAGTTTAGCACAGATGATGGGATGACCCTCATTGATTCTATCACCATTCAATCCCTTACTTCCCACTGCTGAGCCTGATGGGATTGCCTAGTGATTCTGACCAATTTAAAGAAAACATCTCACTCTAGTTGATGCCATAGACAAGAAAGCAAAAAGAGGTGGAGGAATTCATGTCATAGAGAGGGGAACTTGTTGGAGGTATGCTTTTGGGGCTTCCTCAATACCCTCCCCCGCCACTGCTTCCTATCATGTCTTGCGTTCAGCCGACTCTTCATACAATAGGTGACCGATTAGGGAGATGCACAGGACACAGAGGAGTGATCCCAGGTCACACTGATTCAGGGAACAGCCCTGCACACACTCCCACCTGAGCAGTCCTGTCTTTGGCCCTGGGGCATCTGCTGCCTTCCTCTTCCTTGGAGTGTGCTTTCAACTTGACTCTCTATTCCAGATTTACTGGTTTACTGTGGAGTTTGGGCTCTGCAAACAAGGTGACTCCATAAAGGCGTATGGTGCTGGGCTTCTGTCGTCCTTTGGTGAATTACAGGTATGACTCAACAGGAACCAAGGATGGCTTTGAAAGTAATAGGTATAGCCAATCATTCTTTTTCTCTTGGTGCTGTTGAAACCCCCATTTATGTCTATTTTAAAATTCAACCTAGAGGCTTAACCTCAAGTGATTGGTACCTTAGCGGCTATGATTTAATCATAGCTGTGGATGTTAGAGGTAGGAATTGAACTATAAGTACCCAGGTATCCAGGACAGAGGGACCTCCTCACTCTGAGGCTGAACTGTGCATACAGATGTTTGCAAACACATGCCAGGAAATGTGATTGGCTTCCACATCGTCTGCTGATCACCTTACTTGAAAATGGTTGGAGTGAATTACTTCTTTCTATCTTACCTGTAGGTTTTCAATGGGCTATGAAGGGTAGGATCTAGTACAAGCAAAATAATTTAGTTTACTGCGTTTGGGCTCTGGCGTAGGAGGAATCAGGGTGAGAAGGGAGAAGATCCACAAATGACCTATGGGATGCAGCAGGGATCACTGGCCCTGTTCTAACTGTGAAAACTTTCCACTGGGGCCTACAGTACTGCCTGTCAGGCAAGCCGAAGCTCCTCCCCCTGGAGCTGGAGAAGACCGCCATCCAGGAGTACACAGTCACGGAGTTCCAGCCCCTGTATTACGTGGCTGAGAGTTTTAGTGATGCCAAGGAGAAAGTGAGGTAAGGTGGTGACTAAGATGGGTCAGCAGCTCTTGGGGCCTCCTGACTTGGTCTGGTGCCACTGATCTGTGGGTGGTTGGCCTGGGGTTGGACTCCGATACCCACAGCAACAATGTACAGCAGACAGTACCTCCTCCCCTTCATCCCATTTCACCCTCTGTGGGGAGGGGTCTCTTAGTGGGGCTCCGTTTCCCAGCTTATTGTCTGGATGTGCTCAACCCTGCAAACAGCTCTTACCACCTGATCCTTGCTCAGTGCAGCCACCCTGTGCACAGAGTGGCCACAGAGGTCCCTCCACCAAATTAATCCTCAAAGTCTTCTAACCTAGGGAAGTCTCTTGCTCACTTTATCCTCCCAGACATCTGCATAACTCGCTCCCTGACTTCCTGCAAATCTTCACCCATATTTAACCTTCTTTGTGTCTTTCTCAAACCGACTTATTTGAAATTACTACTCAGCCCCACCCCAGCACTCCTTACCTTCTTCTGTGATTTATTTTCAGTGGGGCTCAGAGTTGATACTTGTAACCACCTATAACACTTGGATCACATGCTTCTCCTTCTGGAAATGACTCCCTAATCCAAGAAGTGATCAGTTCCAGACTGGCTCTTCTGTGATTTATTTTTCTCCTTAGCACTTATTAACGTTTAATATATTATATGATTGAAGCTCCATGGGGGTAGGGATTTTTGTCATTTCTGTTTCCTGTTCTTCCTCCAGCCCCCTAGAACAGCACCGGACACATAGTAGGCACTCAGCAAGCTCCTTCACCTCGCTAAGCTTTGATTTGCTGTCTGTAAATTGTAAATATTAAAAGTACTTACCTCACAAGGTCGCTATGAAGAATAAATGCAATAGTTCATGAAAACAGCACATTTCCTGGCATGGATAAGTGTTGCAAATGCACCAGTCTCAGGGGCACGTTAGTAAGAGACCGACAGAGCAGAGCCAGGACACTGAGATTCTCAGGCCCCTGAGCTAGTGGCCCTGCCATGAACCTGCTTGAGCAACTCTTGTCCCAACAGAAGACAGGCTGGGCCAAGGGTCTATTTGGACATGGCTATCCTGATACTCGCCATTTGTTACCACGTCTTTTTTTTTTTTTTCAATATCTTATCAGTGATGGATGGTAGATGGGAGGTATATGGGTCCCTGGGAGCCTGTAGAGCTGAGTATCTCAGCTTTCAATGCATTGGGCTCAGGTAATAAAAGGTAAAATGCTGGCCACAAGTCTACTTGATTGAGCTTAAAATGACTCCCTTTCCCCCTCTTCCCGCAGGGCTCTGAAGTTCTCCCTGTCATTCTTTTCTAGTTTTCTCTTAAGCCTCTATCCTTTACTGGGAGCCTAGCCTTACACTAACCCCTAAAGGCTCTATTCTGCCATTCCTGTGACCCCTTTAAGGTTATGGATTTTGGTGGGTTAGTGCATTACGAAGTTTGCAAATTGGGGTGCAGAAGCATGAGGATGGGTAACTAACTCACAGAGTTGTGCAGCTAGAAAGTGGCTAGACCAGGCTTTGGACGTGGGCAGTGGGGCTCAGAGTTGGTACTTGTAACCACCTGTAACACTTGGATCACATGCTTCTCCTTCTGGAAATTACTCCCTAATCCAAGAAGTGATCAGTTCCAGACTGGCAGGGAAAAATTTGCCAGAACTTGGGTCTCTCAGGCCTTTAAAAGCACACCTGCTCTACCAGTGTCCAGAGGAGATACCCAAGAAAGCTCCACTCTACTGAGAGTCGACTCAAAGAGCCAAAGAGAATTCTAAAGAATAAAGCCCCAAAAAAGGAAGGGACCTGGGCCTCTCTGGGATTCCCTCAGAGCCTTCCAGCTAAGGAGAAACCAAAGCCAGCCATTTTCAATTTGAAGATTCAAGTTCTAGGCAGAGACAAAACTGAATTTGGTCATGTGCCCATTCCTTGGCTTGAGGAGACCCTGAGACCAACTGCTTAACTGAGGGACATCTAATGACATAGAGATAGATTGCCCAAAGCAAAACTGAGGTGCACTGTGGGAATAAGAGGAAAGAGGTGAAGAGCAGACAAAATCAGATATGCGTGACATGGTTCACGTTACCAGCTGGGCTGAGAAAGCTCTTTTCAAAGAAGAGATGAAGAGGGCCATTTATTTTTATGAGTCCCTAGTCACTAATAAAGGATGACAGCTAAGACGCATATGGCATTTACTCGATACTATAACTGCTCTTGCTACAACCCTTTGACGTCATCTTGCTCTTGTTTCAATTTTGCAGAAGAATAAGGCAATCGAGATGCAGAGAGGCCCATTGCCCATGGCCACAAGGACTGTCATTGGCAGAGGCAGGAAGTGAGCTCAGGCAGTTCAACTCTGGAACTTGTGTATCCAGCCCTTATGGTTCCAGCGCTCTTGCCAAACTTGGAGAGCCCTACTAAGCCTCCTTTATAGTCGTCTTCTCAGTATGGCAGCTTCTTCTGTCACCAGAAGCCAACTTAGACATATCATTTGTGACATCTTTGCATTTTATAGGCCATTTTGGGATATCTTGCTAATTCTATTGCTTGATGTCTCTCGTGAGGCCCTCATGGTGCATTCTTCTCAGACCCAGCAGAAATGCATCATCGGGAAGGCAAAGAAGTGAAGATCACAGGCCAGAGTTGACTATCTGGATCCCATCCTGGCTTCACAATATATTGCCAGTATGGCCTTGAGTAGTCACTTAGCTACCTGTCTCATGATTTATAAAATGGAGATAAAAATAGTACTGCCCTCCTAAGGTTTTTATGAAGATTAAAATAGCAGTGATAATTATACAGAACCATAATAACTTAACATAGTTTTTGGAACACAGGAGGCACTTGATCCATGCTAAATTTCATTAATAATGTAGTTTTCTTCAACTCTTGAGAGCTGTGGTTCCCTCCTTGCTCTGACTGTCAAGCATCTCAGATATTATTTTTTTTCTAGCATTCTTTGGTTGGAATTTATTCTTTTTATTTTATTTAATGATGAGAATTTTGGCTTTATTGTATTCTATGCTTTTATTGTCAGCTTCCTTTTTCTTTTTGGAGGTAAGTGGCCAGATATATATATGTGCATAGGTGTTTGTATATTCGCATAGACACACATCCAGCATGTAAAGAATTCCTAGCAGGACCTCACTAAAACTTTACTTCTCAGCCTGGCTTCTAAATCTCCTATTCTCGTGAGATTTCAGTGCTACTAATAGCCAAGTGAAATGACACTGAAAAATCTTTTAGAATTATTTTTCCCTAAGCAATGCCCTTCATTTAGATCTATGGTTTTGGTTTCAGGAACTTTGCGACTACAATCCCGCGGCCCTTCTCAGTTCATTATGAACCGTACACCCAAAGGATTGAGGTCTTGGACAGTACCCAGCAACTTAAGATTTTGGCTGACTCCATCAATGGTAAGTCACTTGTCCCCTTTGAGGCCACTGTCTTTCCCAGAAACAGAGGGTTGCGTTTTCTTACATTCATGATAGGAACAGGAAGAAATTTATTAAATATTGAAATGTTGAACTAAGGAGAAAATCATCTCCAGGTAAGTCACTGGTTTACTGAGGGAGAAAAACTTGACAAAATGTTCAGCATTGCTTTGAGTATTTTTTCTTCTTTGACCTTTCTAGATCCCACCCCACTTCCTACCAGCATACCATCTTCCCATCTTGGCTTGTCATGTTCCTCTTTCTCCTTTGCCTCTCACCCCTTTTCCTATAAGTGTCTGCTGGATATTGTTCTGCTTGGAATCTCAGCCCCTAAAAGGAAAGTCCTATCTACTTTATTAGCCATCTAGTAGCTCATTTATTGGCCTTCCACTCTTCCTGGACAATGAGGCTATTATAACAGTTGCTCTTTAAAAAAAATCACAGTGTTATTTTGTTCATCACCCAGTTCTCTCTCTAGCTCTTCAAATTCCCCTCTAGCAACTGACCACTGTTCGTTCCCATGCTCTTTTTCAGCCCCTGGCTTTTGCCCATACAGTTCTTATTTAAGATAGTCTTCTTACCATTCCCATTTCAAGATCCTCAACTCCACTTCATCTTATAATTCCTTCATAGATATCTCTTGTTGTAGGAAAGCACACTGGTTTGGGTGTCCATCCTGTCTTGAAATTCCTACAGAGCCCCCTTTTAGAGTATTAATTATTGTTATTTTTATAATTTTTTTTGTTTATTTGTCTACTTCCCCAACTAGACCTGAGCATAGGGCCATGTCATGTTCACTGTAAAATCTCCAGCATTTAGCCTTATTCCTAAAAATTTTGTGAGGTACTTATGAGCTTAATTTGCTCTAGGGCTCACTTGTTTCTCTTTCTGGAAGTCCAGGGTATCTGTAGAGATCTCCTTAACACCATATTTCAAATGATTAAAATTTATTTCCTATAAGCCATCTTCACTGTCCAGCTTTTGTATCCACTTATAATAATTGAGAATACAAGGGTATGGGTGATCTTAGCCTTGACACATCTTTGCTCTTAGTGATCCTTCCTAATTCTTCCATTGCTGCCCTTTCGAGTCTCAGCCTTCTCTTGATTTCTTGGCCACGGTCTTCATTTGAATTGATGACTGAACCAAGCTCTAGACATGAGTCTACAGGAACTGACCAGGGCTATTGAAGACAGGGCATGCGGGCATCACTCATTCATAGAGTCACCAGGAGTCCGAGCTGACTCAATGGCATGTAACACACACTCGAGAGCTATTGAATAAATGGACAAAACCACCAAAGGATTGAACTTACAGGGAGGAATTCTAGGCCAAGAGGGGCGTTCCTAAGTTATGTGATGCTAACAAAAGCCAGAGGGGCAGGCGAGCTTCAAGGATCCCTCTACTACCTTTCTGACATTGCCTGAGGCCACTTCTAATATGTAGACCTAGTCCTGGCCATTGTAGTCATTCCCTATTAGGTATGACCACCAGCAATCAGCTATTTTTAAAAAAGCCCAAGACTGATACACCCCTATCGACTCCATACTGAACATTTGGCGGGAATAGCTCTGTTCACCAAAGAGGCCAGATAAATGCTCCAGAGGTAGGAACGTAAGATAGATGGGTCAGGTCATAGCTTTTTTCTCTCTTTATTATTTCCCCTGAAAAGGCAAAAATAACCCCATAGGCAGTTGTTTATAAGGGAATCTTTAACATCACAGAATAACATCTAAAAACTGAAGGGTCGTTAGAGTTATATAACCTTACGTAAGGCCCCATCACCTCTCTATACTTGTTTCTTTTACCTTGGTCCAGTGATCTAACCATCTAGGCTGCGTTATCTTCTTAGACTATGCCTTCTCACACCTGGTGTGCATCAGAATCACCTGGAGAGCTAGATAAAATTAATGGTCCTGAGTCATAGCCCCAGACTAAATTTTTGATAAGGCTTGGAAGTTTGTAATAAGGTCCCAGGTGATTCTGACACGGGAGGTTCGTATGAACCAACTTTTAGGTCCAACGGCTTAGCTCTTAGCAAGCATCTGTGGATGATCATGTAAAAGAGAAACTAGTGATTTCTCTGGGGGAGAAAACTTTTCCTTGAGAAACAGCCTCTGGAAAGAGGAAGCTAATTACATTAATAGCACTAGCACCTTCTAGAACTTGCAAACACCTATGCCATAGCTATCTGAATTCTATCACCATAACTAAGCCATAAACTCCTTGAAGGTTGGAGTGGTACCTAGCATATACATGCATCCCACTGATCCCTTAGTACTTTTTACATTGTGGATACTTGAAGGGTGTTTGTTCATGATATGAGTGACTCATCTATTTTTCTTTGTAGGTGAAATTGGAATCCTTTGCAATGCTCTCCAGAAAATAAACTGAAGTCATGGACAGAACTGGGTCTGTCAACTGAGAATCTGTTGATGGAAATCCAACTACTTCTTTTATTTTATCTGAAAAAAATCTGAAAATCAAACTTTAATTTGAAGGCACAAACTTAAATTATTTTTTGAACAACAAATAAATTTCAATATTCTGAAATGACAGCATATAAATACATACCCAAAAGCATAATGATGGATCTTTTTGGATTATCTTTGATTCGGAGATAATTAGTACATACTCTCAATGGGGGTAAAATTAATAATCTGTCACATTTTATCAAAGTTAATTAAAATTTGTGACCTGCTTCCTTCAAGTTTCATCTATGCTTTTGTTATTTGCCATAGAGAATTGCTAAGGGAGTATATATCACTCAATGTAGAACAAGCCTGTGATTAGAATTAAATTTTTCAATTTAATATAAATCTTAGCCTTCAAAGGTCATTTTCTGTCTCAGTGAACTATGATTCTAAGTTCAAAGCTTATAACAAAGCCATAAAGCAATAGCTTTGTTATGTTGCCTGTATAGATTTTCTTTAATTTGGGAGCCTATTAAATATTTGTAAACATTAAAGTTCATAGCATAATATGAAACACATTTGTCTGTGTTTTATTGCAATCATAAATACTGCTGTGGAAGACAATAGAACTCCCCACCTGATTCCCACAACTTGTAGTATCATTTTCCACTTAATTGTCAAATTTGTTTTGGGAAACATTTTGAAGTTTCTTAAGATGCAACAGATGTTAACTAATGGCCTGGCTGGGAGATATTCAGTAAATATTCATTGAATGAATAAAAGAGTCCATTATTAAATAGCAAACCCTCAACAAAAGTGAGAATTTTAATTATGTTAAAGAAAACTTTAGTGATTACAAAATTTTGCACTCACTTTCAAATATTTCTTGGAATGAAATACTTCTTTCATTGGTTCTATTAGAAATATATTAGTTGGATAATCTTGTGACATGGGAGAATGATCAAAGTCTCAGATTTCCAACCCATTGGAGAGGCTCATTGTGATAATCTAAGTCATGTTTGGATGGCCAACAGACTTTGACTTTTGGTGGTTGTGCATTTTACATGAACACATGAATATGTGAGAAAGAGTGGGGGAAATAATAATGTCTTAAAGGTTATGCTTTGAAATAATTCTCACACCACTTGAACATTTTATTTTGGAAATAATTAAATCTTAAAGGATTTTTTCATAGTATTTCTTCAAGTATGATTCTCATACCAACTGTGTCATCATCAGCAGTCAATCCCAGGCACCATCCCAGCTCTACCCAATAAGAATATCTGGGAATAGGACACAGAGACCTGCATTTTTAAGTATAGCAGGTGATTTTTTTTATACCCACCAAATCTACTGAGTACATTAAGTTTGAGAAAACCTGACTGTTGGTTAATTCTGCCACTTGCCAATTATGTCTGAGAAAACCTGACTGTTGGTTAATTCTGCCACTTGCCAATTATGTCACTTTGCATAAGTCACTTCCCCTCTTTGGACCTCAGTTTTACTTGAACAATGAGGAAGTTAAACTAGACGAATCAAGGTCCTTCCAGCTTTGAAATACAATTCAAATATTACATGTGCAGCTGTCCCTAATCACTAATAGCGTACAATAATACTCATGTAAGCATGCCATCTAGGTGGAAAGAACAATTTAATCTGAATGTGTCTGAGGTTTCATTGTTTTGAAATTGGGATTTTCATGTATCTTTTTCCTCATGCCTTTGTAGAACCCATTGACAAGCACTGATTCTAAAAACAGAAGTGGACTTTTTCTCTAGTGCTTCACTAGAGCCCAAACACTTTGCAAAGGGACTATTTTGATAAATATTTCTTTACTCTGCATTAAATGTAAATTAGAAATTTTTCTGACTTTGGAACTGAAATTTATATAGGATTTTAGACTGAATATTTTCTTTTATAGTGATCTTTAGTCCTATTGAAGATAATTCAGTGTGTTTGAAGTCAAAGTTTAGGTTTGAGTTGTGATTTTGGCAGAAAGACATTACATACTGAATGGAAGATAATCTTTGAAGTTTTAGTAATGTGATATTCAGTACTCAGCTCTTTTTATCTGGATATAAAAGCCCAGCCTAGAGCAATGGAATTCAACACATTTCTATATGTTACTATTATCATCTGTTTAGTATCTAGTAAATGAAGAGTTTAAAAAAAAATAATAGTAATATTTTTCTGACAGCTAAATCCCGTTGTGTCTAAACTAAAGAAATATATATAAGAACATTAAAGGTGTGTAGTATTAGTGCTCGATAAGTTTCTGAAAGGAGGAATCTAACTTTTAATCCTAGGTTTCTAAGTTATATAATTTAGTTGTGTTTCAAAGAATCTACCACTAATAGGTCAACTTCATAAAAACAAGAACCTTGACTATCTTTTTCACTTCTGAAAGCCTTAGCATGTAGCACACAGCAGGAGCTCAATAATCTTTTAAAAATTTTCCTATGAATTGAATTACAGGGAGTATAGTAAAGATCATCTCTCACAAATAAAGTATTTTGCAAGAACAAGTTGAGAAACAAATAAATTTGTAATTTTCCCTTTTAAAAGCTACTGGAAATTTTGTGTCTTAGTCTAAGTTATGATTTTTAAAAGAAAGATATTATGCCCTGTACTCAGTTTGGACTGGATTATGGCTAGGTAATTTGTATTTATACTGCTTCAGTAATAACTGACATAGGGGAGTGCTTTATAAATGTTTGTTAATTAATAAAGAGAAAAAATTACATCAATGAAACTTCTCAGTTATCCACAGTGGGGATGAAATGGTCGTAAAGTAATGAGTGACTTGCATAACGGTTGCGAAAAAGTCACAGAGGAGACAAAATAAAAAAGCCTATAAAAATAAACTTTGTAAAGGAAAGAGAAAAAACATGATTAGAGCTTTCTCTTCCAGATGGAGTGTGCACCTCACACACACAATCACTGTCTCTTAATAGCTTTTCTGTGTAGTTTCAAAAACTCTAAGCCGTAGTAGATGTAATATGTGCTAAAGAGGGCTCTAGTATTTCTGTGCTTTGAAATTTCTCCTCATTTATAACCTGATTTTCAACTCCGTTAGCTTCAAGGCACAGTTTACCTTTTCATCTATAGTAAGCACAATTCTTTTAGAGAATAAGCTCAGAGTAATAAGCAATTTCAGAGAAGATTAATTTCAGCCCTCCAGCATATATACAACTCTCTTCTATAACATTATTCATAATTGTTCAGGATTACTCTTTAACAATGCTTGTTTTGTATATTTCTTGCACATTGTTTCTTTTATGACAACAATCTCTAAATAGCATAACAGTCGTGAAAAAAAAGACAACCAGCTGTGCCTGAGAGATGGACTGAAGCCTTTAAGAAGAAAATGTTACTGCAGGAAACGTTAACACTTGCCACCTGCTTTTTGGGGAAGGAGGGTGTGCTTAAATGGATAAAAGAAAAATGGCAATTAGCTTAAACCGCAGTCCTTAATTTTCCTCATATCATTCTTATGTGGTAGGTGATGCCCAAAGAAAGTAAGTGGATCAATATATTTCTTTGGGGTTGTTATAATCTGTGCATGCTTTGGATGCCTACGGTTAATTCTCCCTAGAAGTAAATTAAGGAATGTCTATTAGAGAAGAAATAAGCTTTGCCCTTTCTGAGGTCTCTTGATTTCTAAAGGTTTAAAGGAAACACCAGCTGCATTCTGTCTTTTTCTGCAATCACCTTACAAAGGGTTGATTTCCACTATTATTGTGAGTGGTCAGGAGAGAGTGGTGTTTAGATTTAGAAAGAAAGGATCAAGAATGCACCTCCCTTTGTTTCTTTGAGTTTCTCCTTTTTGTCTCTTTTCAAAAGTGTGGCTCTTGAGTTTTGTTAAGAAGTCACTCATTCATTCTCTCTCTCTCTCTCTCTCTCTCTCTCTCTCTCTCTCTCTCTCTCTCTGTCTCTCTCTCTCTTCCCTCCCCCTTCTCCATCCCCTCCTCTCCCACACACTTTTTTTGACCACCAAGAGGCTACAAGATGAGTTGAAAATTCTGCCAGTGATGGCACAAAGTGTCTGGCCCTTACCCTAAACCTCCAGTTACCCTGTTTGGAAAAGAAAACAGTTTAAAGTTGTTCCATAGAGAGCCTCCAGCCACTAGTGCCACCCAGAAGTAGAGAATCAGCCTGGAAGAAGAATAGCATTACTTGCAAACCGTAACTGTTGGTCTAGAAAGGCTTTTGAGCCCCTCCAGCTTCCAAATACTCCTTGCCACTGCCAATCCTGAAGCTGAAGAACCCGATAAGCTCCATTTCCTTGGCCTAACAGCAACAAGAACAAAATTTAATTTCGGAATAAGAAAGGAGGAAGCAGAACTTTCCCAAACTTTCCATTCCCAGATATTCTTAGGAATGCCAGGGAAACAAGGGGCTCCCTGCAGAGTTTCTCTTGGGGAAAAAACTTGTTTCCCAGCGCAGAGGGCAATACAGGATTACAAAATAGCGGTTTTATGACCACGATGTGTCTCCTAAGAGAACGTGGCTGAGGCTGGAGCGGAGGGAAAGTGGACAGTCTCTCCGCATCTTGGAGAGGAGTTTCTCAGAACCGCGGACAGCACCCACTCCCCGAGAGAGTACTACCTGCAGGAAGGGAGGTGGTGAAGTCCCAAAGCCTATGCTTTTATGGAGCAAAAGTCAGGAGGGGGATAGAATTTAGAAGAAGTTAATAAAAAGACGAAGAAATGTGACTCTGACGATTGCCTCGCTCACTGAAAACTCTGAATGAATTTTGACCGAGCAAAGGAAAGACAGAATGGACAGGTGACGTCTATTCCCTTGATGATAAGTCCGGTGTTTTGTGCTTTACACGGATCAAAGCCAGGTGTTCTATTTTTGTTAGTGGTGCATTCCCACGTGATACTATTTGAGACTGGAAGATGTAGCATCTTTAGTAGTACTGCTCTGGCAATCTGATCCAAATGCCAGTTTTCTATTGAGCTGAACCTACTTGGA